CGTGACTAGGTCTGTCCATTGTGACTAGGTCTGTCCATTGTGACCAGGTCTATCCATCGTGACTAGGTCTATCCATTGTGACTAGGTCTGTCCATTGTGACTTTTTCTTTCAAGCCACTATAGATGTGCACACACAAATTTTTAATGTACATGGTAAAAGACGTTCTCTCTGCTACTGCTGCATTTCAATTCCAAAGCTTTCAATTTCTGTTTTGTGTCTCCCAGTCTAAGCCCAAGCACCACTACCTGAGAAAATACTGCCATCCCAAGTCCTACACTGCCTTCAACCTGATGAACATCAAGACCTACGGACGACAGATCCTCGAGGTGGGTGGGTAATTTCATGCCACTGTCCGTGAAGTTTAACCCCTAACAGTCCCCAATCAATCAAACTCCAGCACCAGGGTTTTTCTAGGAATCTTGTAAGGATGAGTACAGCACGAGTACACTGACTGTTTTACATGGGATTAGGCACACCACAAATAAACGGAATCCGTGTATGTGCGCGTTCGTGTATGGCGTTGGGATTTGCGAGGATGAGGAAGGCTCCTACTAACTCACCCGCAGGAGTTACGGTTAAATTTTGATGAAGAACTGTGGTTAGCTATGGGTGAATTAATATTTTGTCCAGTGCACTCTAGTTGGTGATGATTGGGCCAATGCAGTCCAGTGACCAGTGGATTCAGGAGCAAATGTTTGGGAGAGCCAAAGACTTTGTTGATGTCTTAAATCTTCACTGGTTTTCTAAGGCGCGAGGCTGAATTTGGGAGATTTTTACATACATGCAATTAGAGACAGGGAAAATAAACTCCCCCCAAAATTGTCATTTGGGGAGCAGGCATGGTTCCATTTGAAGTCCAAGTGTGTAACCAGTAGCATCCTTTCCTGCCCTCTCTCCGAGCAGGCCTTGAAGTTCCTGCAGGAGAAGGGCATACCCTACGGCCATCTACACACGGGCAACGTTATCCTGGAGGGTAACACGTGCCGACTGGTGGACATCGAGAACTCAGTACTCGGTCTGCCGTGTTACTACCGCGACTTCATTGTGCAGCACAAGAAAATCAACGTAAGTGGAAGAGATCTCATTCCTGATTTGTAATCCGATCGTATCTTCTGGTTGCTGACGGATGAAGCGGCCACCAGTGAGCTCTAACATTTCCCCTCCATGTTGTACGGTGTGTAACTTAAAATCTTATAAAACTGTGCAACCCAGCCAGTTTTGAAGTTACATTTATATACGGTGTAAGGTATGCTTGCCCTTCAAATCATCACGAGGCAGCAAGGCCGTTTTCCAATACACAACTTCAGCTCTGTCTAAGGCTTCAAATGTTTTTTTACTAGCTGACTTTGAAGCTGTAAGCGCAGTAATCAGTCTAATAGTACCACAAAACATCAAATAAGATGCAAGAGAGCCAGAAATTACTGTAATCCAATTTAATTTAACGCTTCAGGCCCACAATCGGGGATTGGTTTTGGGAACGAAGCCTGAGACGGAGCCCAAGTCGAGTATTGGAAAAGGGCCCAATATGCAATTTTGTAAACAAGCATGCCATGTGTGTTTTGTTCCTGAACGAGAAATCTGTTATCTAATTGAGTTTCATGGAAAAACATTAAAATCATGGAGCCAAAGAGGTATTGCACATATTCATGCTAACATGTATTGTATTGAAGTGATCATTAATTGTTCCCTAGTATTGGGTGTGAAAATGTGTACAAATGTCTGATAATGTCCATTTCACATGTGCTATTTTTTAATAAATCAAACGCAAAACATGTTGGTTAATTGTGGTACATTTTCCACCCCATGTAATTTCAGTGTGATTTATTCGTAAGCAATTGGACTTACCAATGGTGTGTAAAATGAACGTTCATAGAAGCATATCCTCCTTTTTGCAGACCACAGAGGCCATAGACGTGTACAGCTTTGGCCACGTCATCTTTGAGATGGTGTTTGGAATGCCCCTGAATAAGCACTTCAAGGATGACTTCCCTCACACGGTGCCGCCTCCCATCAGTAAGTGGTAGCCCCTTGCGTGTGGGTCGGCAATGCCGCCGGTATATCTCAGCGAAGTTGTAATTGAGTGTGTCACAAGTCAGATCAAAAGTCAAATCATACTCAGCCGCATGATTTGAAGTAGACTGAAGTATGTTAACTGTAAAATAACTCTCTGAGAACCTTTGCAAAGAGAGTTAAGCAAAAAGACAGCTATTTTAATAAAATTAAACTGACTGAGCGGCTGTATTTTTCCTGGCTTGCTTCAAGTTTCCTCTTTTGATTTTCTTGCCTTGGTAGAGTCTGTTCTTGAGTCAATTCTGACATCTGAATCTTGTAAAAGTGGCCTTCCCACAGTCGATGACCTTATAGCCGATCCGTGAGTAAACTCCTGTCAAAATGGCATTTAAGTGAAAATGCTATTTAAGTCTTGTTAAATGTTCACAAGATGTTGTCATGTTAAGCTGGGAAGCGTATTGGCGTAGAAAGTTGCTCGTGTAGTTTGCATTCAAGTCCTTTTGAATAACAATCGCTAAGGCTGGGCCACGTCATCCCCAAGTCTAACCTTTCACAAGGTGGAATGGGAGGATTTTTTTTTTTTTTTCAAGATTGAGGAAGGTGGAACCTAGCCCTTTAAACTTTCCATTGGACTTGTGCATGGGCTTCGAAAGTTACACGTGCAAAGAATGTCCCCCCATGTGTGCGGCACAGAATGGAAATGTGGGAGGCTCAAGGAGAATTCTATAGACGTTGTTCACCCACGTGACTGTATGTAAACAAAACCACCACTTGTGGACCGCCTTGGCCACGGTGATCGTATCTATTCCTACCACGCAGCTTCAACCACGCGCAAGCGCACATGCGAACGCTGCATTCTTGAGTAGTTTATCTTGAATAGGTAGATTACCATCAGAACACTATGCACTCATTACCATCGCAACACTATGCACTGATTACCATCACAACACATCATAGGTCCAGCACGATCGTGACATCACTGGCAAAAGGTCTATGTGAAATTGCTTTTGGGAATAAAGAAATATGGAAAGATTGCGCTTGTCTGTCTTTCAGCTTGTTCAGCGATGTCTCCGTCGCAACAGCCCCACAATTCAGACTGTCCAGCAAGTTAAAAGAGCCGCTGAAGATGGCCAAGGAAATTGGGGTGGAGAAACGGCTCAAGGCAGACCAGAAGCAAGTAAGTCGATGTTGCATTTACCTTACTGGCGTGTAAGTGCAGAGATAATTCGAATTCAGTATGCGCGTTTTGAGTTTGGTTTGGGTGAGCTCCGTGCATTCGGGAAATGTGGTGCTCGAGTTGAATTTGATTGTGGGGTTATGTAGGAATTCTGCGTTTGAAGAAATTTGTTGGGAGGAAGTTAGGATTGAAGGTTTGGGGGAACTCAGAATTTGCGGTGAGTGGTTTTTGCACTTTGAATGGCTAGAGCCTGTTCACATGGGTGTTTCCTTAATCGTTTCCTCCCCCCCTCCAAAAAAAAAACAGCTTTCAAGTTGGAGGAGGGCTTCAAAAGCCCACGCCCACCACAACTCGGAAGAAGAGAAGAAAAAGAGGAAGAAGGCATCAGCGAAGAAGAGGTTGTCAGAGCAACAGCTGAGTGTGACTGAGGGCGAGACAAACGGGGCGACAAACAGTTCAACTAATGGTGAGTCGAATGCCCAGTGACAGTTATAAAAGGAAGAAAGCACAGAGGAGGCTGTGGCCGAATCGTACGTCTTGAGTTGAGTTTAGGTCTGTACACCACGACCGTAGATGTAACTTTCTCGCTGGAAGCCTATTTTGTACACAACTAAAGGCAATCATTGTTCTCACACATACCACGGGCATGCATGAAAATACTCCGGGAGTGCTTTATATTGAGCTGTTACCCCTGACCAGCATGCATTTAGTAATCTCTGGATCTTTCTCAGTAATGAGCAACAGACGAGATCAAGGGCATCGCCCGGGGAGTAGAAGCAGGTGCTCCCTGGGTGGAATTTAAATCTTGTTCCCTACAAGCCCGATATCCTGTCTTCCAAGTGGCGATTTTACTGACTTCCTGTCTGTTTCAGGCACGGCATCTGGTGTGAGCAGTCCGTCATCAACAGCGCCCTCATCGCCGTCATCAGGTAGGCACTACGAATAACAGCTTTTGTCACAATTTAGCATTTTTCATTCTCTCTGACTGTCCTTGCCATTTTAAGCATCTCGCCTCTTCTCAAACGTATCTCCGGCAGTCAAAGTGTATTTCTATGCAGTGTGACAAGCAGCTTCATAGACACCAGTCTATTAAAAAGTACTTGTCTCAGGCTATGTCCTGATTGGCTGTCGTTGTCCATGCCTGCAGTGTTCTGCCATGTATGTGGCTTGTCTAGATGCAATCCAAGATGACACCAGTATACCCTTTCTTTGGATGGTTGACAATATTTTGCACCGACTTTGGCACAGAATGTTAAACTATTTCTTCACTTTATCACATAATTCCCATTTTCCTTTAGCTTCTGTGTAAAGCCTCTTCACTCACAGAAACTCTGTCACTCCGTGAAGATCCTAAACGGAAAACCCACAAAATGCACACTACTTTGTAGCAAACTTTGTCGAGAGAGAAATAACAATAGATACCTCAATGTGTACATAAACTTGGTGCGGCTTCAATGTATTCTCAACTTTTCTTCAAATTGCAATGTCTTGGAGTGAGCCCTCTGGTGGTTTACTCTTGACAATATTGACATGCTCAGTTGGATTCCAGTTCAGCTTGTCTGGTAGTGAGATGACCGTTTGCGAGATCACATTGCTCCGCTGCGCTTAAATGTATGCCCATGTCTAATCTGCGCATGTGATGCCAACTTGCAACAAGCAGTACCAGAGCGTGTTGATATTTTCACGAGAAATCCCTGGAGACTTCCAGGAACTCCGTGCTGAGGACTCGTCAACACGATCTGACCATATGTATACACAGGCACAGCTGATAGGTTTATATATAAAGTGTGCCTCAACTCACACAGGTTGACGTTTAACATGCTTATTCCCCTTTTTTTGAACACACACATACCGAGTCCTAAAAGTTTGTTCACACCATGGTTATACCCCAGAATGTAGAAAAATGTAAGGTTGTGAGAAATATTACAAACGATTGACAGTAACAAGTCGGTATTTGTGAAATTGAATTTATATCTTCTCTTAATTTTTATGTATTCTGCCTCAGAAAGGTTTATGCCAAACTCTGGAAGAGATTAAGGTTGCTTTTTCCCCCCCCCTCGTCTCGTTATCAATTGTGTAGTGAAATCCTGTCGTAAACCTCGCAAGAAGCGTAGGCCAAGGTGAGACTGAATGCCCCCATCAAAGCGCAAAAACACACGGCAACGACCACACAGCTCTCTCGCAAGCCCATCTCAAAGAGTCCTGTGTGAGAATTTTGTGTGGTTGCTCCTGTACCAGCATGGCATCGTGGCACGGTTATTCGATCGGCACACAAGCAGTTTGGATTTTCTTCAAGAAATCTTGGCATGAAATCTTGGCATTACCCACACGTCAGACACCGCTCCTATCTTGGCTTGCCTTAGAGACTGAAAATAATGGAAATGAATTTCAGATCAGTCATCAACGACTGGCACACTTAGTTACAGAATTTTCAGCATTAGATGGCAGACATACAGAATACAGTTACCTGAAATGTACAGCTTGGCTGTATGCAGTAGATGCATGACTTTGCCTACAAAGTCTAAATAAGGCATTCCTGTGTCAGACTTTCTCTTCAATTTTCACAATTTAAGTTTCACTCTTGCAGTCAAAAATCTTTCAATTGACTTTGTGTATTATTTGATATTTACGTTGCAATATGGTTATAAATGTTGAGTCCCCCCCCAAAAAAGTGAGAACATGTTGGCAGTATTTTTCGGCCATTTTTTGTCAATCCTGACAGTCCTAAATTATCTGGCCCCAAGCACAGTCTCACACCATTAACCCTAACCCTCCTCAATCCTCCAACAGGTGAAGGATTCAGGAGGGTTAGGGTTAAGTTGAACTGTGGCGTAGATATTCCCGTGTTGTTCGTTCATCTCCTGTTGTGCTTATGACTAGACTTGCGAATTAACATGGGACGGGCTATAAATAACATCATAGTTATTTGTAGTCCATTCGTGAGCACTCAGTGGTCAGTGCCAAAGATGTGGAAATTTTTTGTATTAAGCCAACTGTTTGTTACTAAAAGTTGTCTCATTGGGACATCTCCTAGTTTCACTTCAATCAGCTCCTTGCCAGATGATGAAAGGGCAAGATTTTACATAGGAATAATCATCCCTGGGGAGAGAAAACACTACATGCTCTCTCAGGTTCAGGTGCGTTGGGCGCAGGACGCTTTAGTTGGGTAAGGTCTTCGCGTGTTCCCTATGGACCAAGTTGAAATTAGCCCCGCAAAGTAATCTCTTCTCTGCCAGTGAGGGGGGACATCTCGTCAAAGCAGATGTTGTCAGGTCTATAAGTTTGGTTCTCTTGTGCATCGTCAGCACCCTCTCGGCAAGAGTACGCTAGCATGAACATATCTGCATCGTCATTGGAATGTTTCCAGAAGGTTGGAGAATTGCACGCCTATTAGCATCCAGTTATAAAAGTGCTGTAGCAGGCAGGGTTTCATGCTTTTTTGGTCATAGAATGTCAGTCGTAATGGGAAGTGTGCATGTATATCAGTATTCTAGTTTGTTCCCCCTAACGTTTAGGAGAATCTACTTACACGTTTGACATGTCTGAGAATTTTATGGCAAGGTTGGACCCATTTGGTGTCAGCATGACCTGTTTCCATTAACTGGTGTCTTCAACCGAACTTTTTTTTTTCCAGAGGCGAGCGCAAAGACTTAAGTGCGTCCAGCAACAGCCAGACTAGCCATGAATACGAACACGTGTGTAGGTGTGTGCGTGTGACCATAGTTTTCAATATCAGGGCTCTCACTGGTGTCAGAAATTCACGGAGAAAATGGACGGCACAAGTTACGAGAAGAGTTCCGCGCCTGGTCACCAAGGGTTTTATAAACATCAATCGGTTTAAAAGGGAATCAGAAATGGTACTTGTGCCATTCCCATCAGGTACAAGACTCCCTTTCCTTGCCAAAAGCCCTCTAAGAATAAAACACGCCCCATTTTTAAGCTTGTTAATGTTTATGAATCTCCAAAGTTTCGGAGGCCAGACCCAGGACTCTATCTCAATTCACCTCTGTTAACTGGTAGTGGAGAAGGGCAGCAAAAAATTCTATGGAGAAACTCTGGAGATTGCTTTCAAAGCTGGGAATAGAGATTTGGTTCTAAAAAAATAATCTGGGAATCTTTCTTCTGAGCTACAGTGGGCACCCTGCATAGCTCGTGTAAACTGTGATGTTACTGTTGTTTTTGTTCATAATAGTACTAGATGCATGCTCAGTCTCCTGGCAGCACCATTTTGTGTTGTGGCTTGTCTGCATTTTTTTTCTGCCAATAATTCTGGGTTTATTTTTTTCAGTCAGTAGAGTATCCTAATTGTTTATTGTACCCATAGATTGTGTCAGCTCAAACTAAAAAACTACCTGCAGCTTTGTTAGTAGAGGCCAAAGGTCAGGTTGCTGGCCGTGTCATATCGCCAGGTTGAAGATTGTTTCTAAGGTGCTTGCTGTTGATGGATAGCAAAACGTGAATGCACAGGTCATCAAACTTGATCGTACATCCTTTTCGTATTTGCTCCGGATTGAGTTTTTTGTTTGATTGTGACACAAGCGTGGGCAAAATTCTCATCCTTCTGAATAATTAGATTTACTTGGCACATGCGGTCAAGTAACTCAAGCCCCAAAGTGCATTGCCGACATTCGTACCAGACATGAAGGACAAAAATACTGAAATAACAAGACTCACTCTTGGTAATTTGGGTTTGATCTAATTCGACTTGACTTTCTTTTTGTGCATTTGGTGAAATAATGTCAGCCTGGAGACGTTAACATCATCTTGGATTTCTTACACCTGCAACCCAATTAACACTAAGAAATATCCAATTTTTATTGGTACACAGGTGTAGGAATTGCTCAATGTATCAATGGGGCATCCTGTGATACTAACATGTTGCACTCTCTCAAGAAGTCAACTTACTTTCTCTGTTTTAACCTCCTCCGTGGGTGGTCATAACTCTTTCGTCTTTCAGATCTTCACATTCACAAGAGCCACTCACCAGCAACCACTGGGTTGTTTTTTATTTAAACTCTAGGCTTTCCTACTGGAGTTAGATTTTAATCCAAATTCGGTCGGAAAACTGTCCATTCTGAAGCCTTACTGAAGCAAGGGGTTAAAAATTTTTACTCGGAGACATTTCAGAAGTGTTGCAGTTTCAGAATTTCTGAATGGACGTCTGACTGGCCCAGGTATATGTCTTGCATTTGTGTGAGCCCCTCAAGTCGGACATCACATTTGAGGCAGTGCGTAAGGATGGGAACTTGGGAAAGTTCACATATTGCAAATGGCCGTGTCACACTTGCATGAAGTTTTGTTGCAGCACCTCGACCAAGTTCAACAAAACACCAAATGTATCCTCAAGCACGTCGCTCTTGCAGAGTGCACCAGAGAATGACGCAGTGATTTGGTTTGGTCGTTTACTCAAAGGGAACACTCGCACCTCATTATTAGTAGCTTGTCTCACCAAGGTTGCACAGAGTTTGTGTCAAGATGGCAGGCATGATGATGTTTTTGTGGCATGTTTATGAGAGGTAGTGGCTTCATGAGGGTTGACAGTTGATAAGCTCATGGCAAAGCGCTAAATAAGTACTTTTAAAAGTGACAACAATTTTTGAACACGGAAAACTGTCACGAATTTAATCCATATTATTGTCAAGACCAACACCACCCTTAAGACCAGTCATAAGTAAAAGGGTGAACAGTGACAAAGGAATGCTTTTGTTCCAGTTCACTTGAAAAGCCTGTGACTTGTATTGAGACTAGAGGTCTTGTGTTGGGCCTGTGAGGTTTTGTGAAGGTCACGACTACAACGCTGCTTGGTGCCAATTTGGTGAGAAGCAAGTCTCTGTATTGGTTGAAATGGGCTCTCTTTTGTGTGAAAAGCCAGAGGGAGGCCAACCCTGTCTTTGATGTCGAGTAACAGTCAACATTAGCTTAAGAATGCCACTGCCGGTTCATTCTGTTTTCTCTCATTGCAATTGCAGCTGACGCTGAACCACTGCTTCTGTCGTGAATGCTGCTTTTACATTATTTCATGTCTTGTCGCCGGTTTATGCGTGCCTTTCATTTTGTTGTGATGATCGCTTTTAGACAGTAGTTTCAGCTTGTGTGAATGACAGAAGTCACTAGAGCAGTAACCTTTTGTCAATAAGAGTACCTTTGCATTACTGTATTTGTTTTCTCCACTGTTTCAATCCCTAGTCTTCACCTTTCCATCCCGTGCACGTAGCTCTATTCACATAACTTTCTGTCAGTTAATGCAGCTGTCATTTCTCCGGCAATGACCGAGCTATCTTTTTCAGTTACACTTTTTACTTCCTATTTTCTCCATTGTGTTTCCTCTTGTTTAACCTGGTTAAAATTTCCAAAAACGCAGTATAACCCAGAAAGCAACAGCATTCAAGTCAACTGTAAATTGTGTCAAATTGATTTACCATTTTGCTTTTTTTCTCACTTCAGTCCCCCAGCCTCCACCCCTACCAGTAGCCCCCGGATCCCCCGGCGCCCTGCCCCCACCCTCTCTCTCAGCCCCGGGCTCTCCCCCTCCCCCCGAGCCAGCAGCCACGGGCGAAAGAGGGGCCTTGCTAAGCTCCATTCAAAGCTTTTCAAAAGGCGCTCTAAAGAAGGCCGTCACCAAGGACTGCAGTGCCCCTAAGTTGTGAGTCCGACGTTAACGAGACAGGATTACGTGCCAAATGCAGCTCTCCTGGGCGTATAGTCATTAACACTTTGACGCGAAAAATTGATATGAGACTTAAAAATTTTACTTTTTATATTGGAGAATCTAAACTCATTTAATTTTTTTCCCACAATGAAATGAACACGTGTTAGAATTGTTTGCAGTATGATTGCCTGCTTTCTTCAAAATGTGGCCCAACCTGGCAAAGTAAGTTGAAAGTTGTCAGCACCATTTTTGTGCAAAAGGTCTTTGAAAGAATCTTGTACAATGCAAATCAACAGGAAATCTGAACATTTTGTACCTTCATAATGACCACAGCACCCCAAACAGCTCAACTGACTCTTGCTAAAGCAAACTTAAGACAGAAGTGCTGAAAAAAGTGGCCTTGAAACTCATTTTTTTTTTAGGGTTTGGCCACAAATAACTATCACTTAAGATTGCTGAATTTTGCAAGATATTAGAGGTAATTGTTATCTGGGAACTCAGCAAGCTGATTGTTTATGATTTCCCCTCCCCCCCAATAATTTCTGGAATTGTGTTTTTTATTCGTTAATCTTTGTCACCGTGTACTCAATCCACACTGAGTCTACAATGTTTTGGAAGTTGTGTCACATTTCGTTGGATGACACAGTCATGATGCTGTCTGAATGCCAACCAAAAGTCGATGTCAAAGTAATTTAGAGTCAGCAAGTTACCAGTCTGCGGCTTGTTGACCGCAGTATTGTGGGCTGAAGAATTCTGTGCATCTTTTTGTGTTTTGTAATGAACAGAAAAGGCTTAAATTCATACTTCCTACTAATCGTTTCACTTCATGTGGTGTTTTTAGCTTTGATGAAGATCAGCAGATATGCCATTTCCTTTTGTAGAAAAGTTATTTCTTAAAAATGCATGAGAGAAACATGTATTCCTGCAGCTTCCCTATGTTCACATTTGTATCTACAGGTGGGTTGGACAAGTCCATTTGTAGAACTCTTCAGGTTGCCACTCAAATACTAAATTGGATGTATCAGAAAATCACATTCCAGCAAACTTTATTATTGTTTTCACAATCCTGCCTATGATTGACTGATTTTACAGAGAGTACAGTCATTTTGAGTGCCTTATTAGTAATTTGCAACTGGAATAGTATATAGTGCTTCGTGATTGGCTTTCGTTCTTGTAGATAATGAAAAAAGAACTGAAAGTCTGGAAATAAGTTGAGATCTTACACAGGCTTGGGGTTTCGTTAAGTACAGATCTGAATAGATGTTATTTTCCAGTAGGAAAAATGGTCATTCTCATTCGAAGTTGTCAACTTGCTATTTGTTATAGTGATGTATGGTGTTCCTTAACCACTCCCTGCCAGGTAGAATTTGAATATGCGGGACAAGTTTCCGGGTGATTTTCAAGATTTTCCATTTTCAAAATTCTTCAGGAATTCATAACTTCATTTACTGGACATTTACACTCCCACAAATGACTGTCTGGTGGCAACTCTAATCTGACGGGCAACCTCCATTGATGCCTGATGAATTGCAGCCAGGCCTGCCACCTAGTAAGGGGAGCCCAGATTGTGTAGTGTTGTGTAATTCCCAAAATGTGTTCCCAAAATAGGCCCAGTGCATTGCTGAATAGCAGTGGCGTCTTTTCAAATGCGGCAGGATCAGCATGCTGTGGAGGTGTTTCGCTCATCACTGGATTGCTGGAGCACTTTTGTCCGCTCTGATAATCCAAGGGCACTGAATGCCGCAAACAGTGGTATATCGTTTCAAAACAATGACGGATTACCTCTGCTAATGCCAGCTGAAAAATGACAGCAATTCCCAGCAGCTCGGTCTTTTGTTCCGAGTATGTTTTTTTGTTAAAAGGCCCAGCTTTTTCGTCCGATTTCAGGCAGCCCGGCTATACGTACAAACCCAAGGAATCCGGTACCAGGAACCCCGGCACCGAGTGGTTAAGGGACATTATCTTTGCTGCACTTTAATGTACTGTTATGACGTATCCTTTTAAGGAAATTTATGTTACCAAGGGAAATTAGAGTATTTCCCTTCAAGGCAACCGCAGCAGTTAGATAAGTAACGGCCATTTCATACAAACGCCGAGGTTTGACATGTACAGAAGTTTCATGTAAATAGTTTTTATGATCTAGAGCTTTTGAAAAAAAAGTTGCTAAAGAAGATATTTTAGAAATGAGATTGAAATTTAATCATTTAGTTGTACAGAAAAAACTGTTTATATGAGATAGCTATGCGAAATTCATTCCTATTCAACAGATTTCCATTGTATGCTTTAACATAAAATGTGATACCGTTGTCTTAATTTCTTCCTGATGTGCAGATTGTAGATGTTTTCAGGCATTTCCTCCAGATATACGTAAATTGGAGATGGCAATTCCAAGTACAAATGCCTGCAAAATGGCTCAGATATAGGCAGATTACTCGTCTTGATCTGTTCCATTAAGAGGTAGCCCCCCCCCACCTCCACCAGTGACACCCCCGCCCTCCCTCGCTGGATTGACAAATGAACACCATTGGCTGTGTGTACATCTGTGAACACCTTGCATATTTGTGTATCAAATGTGCACGAATGATTTGCCTTTCCAAGAGACATTGTTGCATGGAGAGAAAAAAGAAAATCTCGTCGTCACACGGGAAGCTCCTGGGGTGTTCCGTATTATCCGCAGTGTGTATTTTCAGGATTGACAGTAGTGTGTCCTTTCTTCCTTCACACTGTTGCCGCTTTCAGTGAAACTCCTGTTTAGATGAGGTTGGCTGATTTGGACATCTGAGGTGTTTTTGTAGCATAGGCTGCATACAGATCACTGGTTGAAAATAACACATGCATCCTTGGAATATATAACCAGCTGGGGCATTTCTTTCTAGACTCGACCTAGTATTGTGGGTACAAGATTATTTGCCCTTTCAAGATTCACTACAGTGGGGAGCAGAACATCTGGGAAAAAGTATGCATGAATTTAGAAAAGTTTGAATGGGGGAAACATGTCCAATCTTTTCTTCATAATGTTGAAAAAGCATGGATGCACAGGAAGCATTAATGCTGTGTGATCATTTTGTGAGGTCATTCAAATCTGGTTATTGAGGAACAAAGTACATGAAAAAGCCTCTCTGTGAAGCATCCCATGTGAAAGAAGTGTTCGCTCAGCTATGGAGTGATGTGATATACGAGACATACTATCTTGGATTGGTGCCAAATCTTAAGAGTTCTGGAGGCCATTTCTTGGAATTTGAATTGTCAGCAAATAGGATAGATAGGGTAGATGCAGAAAGAGAGATGCATTTTTTTTCCTGTACTCCGGAGAATCAATAGTTGTCACCGTTTTCTACATACAGGAATTTACTTTTCTCAAATATGTCGCTTCTTGTTGAAGTTTAAACATGCTCTTAATAATTAAGACTCGTTCATTAGATTCATTGGAAATTGTTGGCAAACAATCACAAAAATGGAATACTGTTTAAATTTATGTAAGGAGAATCTATGAAAAGTTTACGCAATATATGTACTTAAAGAAAAACTGTAATTAAAGAAGATATTCTTTATTCTAATGAGTGTGTTTTTGTCCAGGTGTTTTCTGTTGTAATGTGCACTTGTCAGGACAATACTTGTGATCTGCAACGGCCACTAGATCCAGCCAAAGCAAGAATAATTGTAACCATTTTGCAAACCGTGAGGGATTTTACGGAGTACGTGTATGTCCCAAACTCGGAAAATCCCGCGTAACAGGGCAGATTGGAAACCTTAACAATTGTTAATCCATTTCGTTTTATTCCAATTCCAATATATGCATCTATCACAGGTGTTGGTAAGCCTAAGAGAGGGAGACCAGTGACAAACAGACCTGAAAATTGTCATTCTGCCGATGAACTTAAAACCAATGAACTATAAACATAGAGCTCTATTAAATTACTAGAACGCTAGCCTTTCAACTGCTCAGAGAAAATTTGATGTTGTCCTGGATGCAGACATTTTCAATCCACGTGCGTGTCTTGTAGAATATTGGAAATTGGATAGAATGAATATCGAATTATGTACTCTGAATGCAATGTGCATCAGATACTGCTAAAATCCGATTAAAAAAAGTCACGGCAAAATTATCTGTAGCGCATACACACATGCATTTGTGTTGTTCACGCAGAGCAAAATGACACACTCATTTTCTGATTGTGCATTACGTTTTTTTTACTGATGCATCGTTTTAGAATACAGATGCAGATTTGCAAATAGCCGTACAAAATTTCGACTTTTCCATGGGTTTTTGCACAAACACAGATGTGGCCAGCAGGCATCACTCTGTACATAAGTAAGCCCTCTAGTTTTTATTTACAGCTCTCCGACTATTCACCAGCTCCCACTCACGGTTGTGACATGGTTCCTGGTACAAACTCGTAGGTTACTACACATTAGCAGATAGGTTACATTTCTGTTCCCCTTGTCAAATTTTTGCCAACAGTGCTACCCACACACACCTTTTCGTTTGCTATTAACAAGCATGGGGGTCACTACAAGTAAACCACTCCGAGCGGAACAAAAGATGGCACGTTTTTTTGGTACTCACCGCACAGGTGCGCCATAGGGCACCCAAGTATATGCGCGTTTGACGCGGAGCACGCCGAGTACGCGTAACAAATTTACTCCAGCACGTATGGTCTTCACGTACACGCAGAATGCGTGCAAGAACCCGCTTGTAACCACCTGCGGCAGCGGTTAATACTGGGTTGCATCTGAATGAAAGGGTTGCATTTGGCAACAATATGAATGTGCTTTTCCAAGCCCCCAGCTAGCAGCTAATTTAATATTTGGACGTAGAAATATTTTGTTTACCTTTTGTGACTGTTTCACCACAAAATCTACTGTCATGTCAGGGATCAGTGATGCCCTCGAGGTCAGAATCAATTGAACTGAAATATGGGAAGTTGGAATTCACACTCACGCCCTCTAAATGCTTCTTGACAAGAGGACTGCTTTGTCAAGGTGAAACTACAAAGATTTTTTGTCTGGGCTTCTCTCTCAACCACGGCCTTGAGAACTGAGAATTCGTGGCACTTCAGTGTTTACCAAATTGCAGAAAAACATGTGTGTCTTTTACGGAGCAGATGTTCTAACACTTTCGCCCACACAAGCCTATTTATGAGACAACCATCTTGAATCAAAAGCGAGGCGATCCTTAAAACTTTCACAGTATTCATAAAAAAATGAAGAAGATGCCACAGGGGCAATATTCAGATGACCATCTTTGTGCTCTACCTTTACTGTCCCAATGAAAAATATTTTTCCCAAAGTGAGGCTACACCTGTAACAATGGCAAAATAGTCGGGTTCCCACCCATTTTAGAGTGTTGCATAGTGGGTTCAGGGAGCAAGATCTGAAATGGGTGTCTTGAGCATAAAGCCAATGGGGATTTTTAGTGTTCCGTTACTGTTTTAGGCACATCTTGCTTCTGAAGGCTCTTTGCTGGACTAACAGCATATGGTCTCCATGAATAGGCCAGAAGTTCTGTTGGAATCATTAGCAATGTCATGAAACTGGGCCCCATGGTGACATCACCAGAGATTGGAATCCAATCAATGCATTTTGCATGAATCAGTTACCCTTGAAAGGTTTAAAAACAGTTCCTATGATCAAAGACTTGAACACTAATTTAATTTGTACAGATAACTTACTTTTTAGCAAACTTGATAAACCTACATTTCAATTTAACCATTTCTGATACTGAGTTCAGCTTCACAGCACCTGAGCCACAGTAGGGCCAGTAAAACTTTTTGTTTGTTTGACACTGTTTTGAAGGCCCAGCATACCATGTTAAAACCATTCAATATAAAACCAAATTTTGAGTAGACGTCACTGCTGTTGTCAGTGTTGTACCGACTGCTTGGTTTCAACGAGCAGCAATTTCTTGACAGTGTCCACTATGCTGGTGGCTGTGGGTAAGCTAGCCTGCTCCAGCAAGGTGGCATAGGGCATGGGGATGTCGGCCCCTGTGACACGGACGGCCGGGGCATCCAGGTAGTCAAACGCTTCATCTGAAAAGAAGACAAACAGCCCATCACTCTTTTTCCTTCATTCTCCCCATGACCATTCTTATGGAAACGCCCAACAGAAAATGACTGGCAATTTGGACAACTTTTTTTACTGAGCAAAACTTTTTTCAGGTTATCAAAGCTGACCTCTTGTCAAGTGCAGGGCACACCAAAACTGTATTCATAGTTTGTATTGTATTAAGTACGGCTGTCGTCAGGTCCGTCAAAATGCTAATCACAAGTTCTTTTGGAAGACCAGTCACAAGCAGTTGTAATGACTCGAGTCAATCACTCCACTCGAGTCAATCACTCCACTCGAGTCTAAATCGAGTCACAATTTTGGCGACTCGACTCAAGTCCCAATGGGTAAATGACTCAATTCAAGTCTGCAACCAAATGACTCGACTTGAATGTCGCTTGGAGATTCAACTCAAGTACAAGCTTATAAGCTTGTACTTGAGTTGAAACACTTAAAGCACTTAAAAAAAAACACTTAAAGCAACATTTTAGTTGGCTAGATACTTGTCACTCTAATATATTTTTCGGTATGTCTAAATGAAAATAGAAATACCCAAAAATGACTTAAATGTAGTTTTGTTTTATTGTATTTTGTCCAAAAATTTGTGACTCAAATTGACTCGAAGCTCTGTACCTGACTCGACTACACAAAGTGACTCGACTCAACTTCTTGACCTAATGCCTCAACTCAAGGCACAATGTTAAAATGACTCGACTCGAGTCACCACATTTACTGGTCACAAGTCTGGCTGTAAGTTCAGTTGCTGGTCATTTCATGCGGCCAGTCACAAGTAACAGGCTGAACGATAACAAAGGAACATTTTTGTCAATTCATTTCAACAGCTTGTGATTTAAGACTGGACAACTTGTCATGGACTTGCAGAAACTCATCATGCATCCAAATACAGCTCTAGTATTTCGTACGTACATTTAGGCTTCAAAAAAACTGTGGGAGAATAAGCAACAAGTCAAAAAAGCCTTGGCAAGTTGGTGACTTACTCTCCATCATTCGAGCTAAGATCTCAGCCCCAACGCCAAACTGCGGCCAGCCGCCCTCCACTGACACTAGGTGGTTAGTCTTCTTGACGGAGTTCACAATGGCCTCTTCATCCATCGGTCTGATGGTGCGCATATTGATAACCTGTAGTCCAAACAACAGAGGCAGAGCAACAGGGCTCCATGTTGAAGAGCAACTGTAAACAACGCTTGTTCTCTTTGGAGGACCTCACAGCATTTGTATTAAACATAGGACATGAGGTGCAGCTCTGTTACATTGGGCTCTGATAGTTAAATGGCAAATACAGCCAGAGTGTAAGCATCTGCAAGTTGGAGTACATGAGGCAGAGCTGTGAAATTAGAGGCAATGGCACAAAATAAGAACAATTTCATGAAGTTGTTAGTCACACAAGTTTGTGTAGCAAAGAAAATACCATGCAATGTCATGAATTCTTATTTCTTCCCAATGTTCCAATCGACTCTTAAATAGTATTTTCAAGCATTTTTATTTGAACATTTTCATTTTATTGCATAAATATCCTTTCTATGTAACTGCAAATTCTATTAAAATGGGTAATCCGCTCTGTGAGGGAGACTGATGGTGTGCTGAAATAAAGCACAATGGTCCTCAGTGGGGACTCACTACATGCACAAGCAGGTTCGTGTGCATTTACACAGGACGCGCTGAGAGTGTGCGACTACTTTATGTTCATAGATCCACATGTCTGCTGGGCGACCAATTAACATGTCTCCTCTTTCCCAGAGAGAGAGAGAGTACTTCAGGTTAGGCAGGTTGCAATTGGGCCTTACATAGTCCTTATCTTCCCTTTATGGCAGCAGCGGATATCCCATGCCTGCCTTTCTGCTTGTCCCTATTTACCTCGGCCGAGACGCCTTCTGATTGCAGCTGCTGGGCTGCCTCCAGGCAGCGCTGCACACTGATGCTGTGGGCCACCAGTGTCACGTCCGTCCCTTCCCTCTCGATCTTGGCCTTGCCGATTGGAATCAGGAAATCCTCCCTCATGGCCTCGTCGGACATGTCGAAGGCCGTGCCATACAGCAGTTCATTTTCCAGCACGACAACTGGCAGAGGTCAGATTGGGTGATGAAGAGAAATTAACCAAATGATGAGAGGTTGTACCAATGACAGTAGTAAGACAATGTGACCTTTCAGGATATTTGACGGCTAACAAGGGATGCTTTCTTTCCCAGGGCAGGTTTTTTTTTTCAAGTAAAAAGTGGCTGAGCTTAGTCCAGAATTTTTGGGTCTAACCTTCTGAAATCTGGAAAATCCTGAAGAATCAAGCCTTGGAGGAAAAGTTGCATAGAATAGGGAAGCCTCTAGAAAGACTGAGAAGATCTTTTTACCGGGATTGTCGTCCCTGATGGCCGCTTTCAGCAGTCCCTTGGAGTCTTCTGAGGAGTAAGGGCTGACAACCTTCAACCCAGGACAGTGACCGTACCAGGCTGCGAAGCACTGGGAATGCTGAGCCGCGACACCAGCCGCAGCTCCGTTGGGTCCACGGAAGACAATAGGGACAGAAACCTTGATTTAAAAAAAAAAGAAATCATTCTGTCAGTAGGAATATTTATGCTGGTAAATTGCTATCCGTGATAAACAAATCCATAGGAAAGTGAACATGTAAACAAAGTGTAACACCATCATGGTTTAGGTTTATTAGAATCAACAACAGAGAATCACTAATACCTGTCCAGCCGACATGTAGTGGGTCTTGGCGGCAGAGTTAATGACCTGGTCTATGGCCTGCATGGCAAAGTTGAACGTCATGAACTCACAGATGGGTCTGAGCCCCGCCTACAGACAGCAAAATATCTATATATATATATAAGGAATCAGCTGTTTCTAAAAATCTCATTTAAATTCAACTTTCTGTCGACTGCAATGAGGGATCGCTAAACATGAGTCAGATCAGAGTAAAACAGACCCTTTTTTGCATAAACAAATGAGGCCTTAAGTGTGGGGCCTCCAACAATAGCTGCCACCATATTCCATGCAGTAGGGCATGCTATATACATTTGCAATTTTTCAAGCTTTGTAGCAGAATCCAGCGATGACTGAGTGATTCATAGGTAAATATGAATAAACTGAGTGGACTTAAATTAACTTGTAAGAGTCCTAACAACACAGCCCACCGAGACCGAAGGAGACATTATTAGGTCGCATGAGTACAATTGGGCCTCCGAGGACAGCACCTGGTGACCTCCAGTCCTCAGTCTCGATGTGCTTTCTGGTCACTACAGAGATCAGTGAATTCAGTACTGTCTTTCTCATTCGGCTCACCATGGCTGACCCCACAGCTATCCCGGCAAACCCCATCTCTGTGATGGGCGTGTCTCGGATCCTCTTCTCCCCGTACTTCTCGTACAGGCCGCGGGTGACTTTGTAGGCACCGTCGTACAGCGCCACCTCCTCCCCCATAATGTACACCTTCTCATCGCGGGCCAGTTCCTCATCCAGGGCAGCATTCAAGGCATCACGGACCGTCATCTGTACAGGGTGAATAGAAAGCGCACATACGATCATGTTGGAAATGAAATTTAGGAATTCACTGAAGATCTTGCGGAAATAAAGCCGGTTTATTTTCTTGCGTTTTTACCTGCTGAGAAGCGGCCGGCAAGGACGTTGTGATACTTCTTGACAGGAAGGCCTTGGAGACCACCTGGAAGGAGGGCAAAGGCAAATTAATCATTTAGGCTACAACATACATTAGAATTAATGTAATTGGAAATAAAATTTTTCGAATGGTATAGCATGGAAGGACAATGACATTGTCTGAATTTCACCAATTTACAACCAAATAGTTGCCACTGAAGTTCATCTCTGACATGTTTGACAGTTGAGAAACAACGCAGGCATCAAGAAGGAATTTTTATGTCAAGTCTTCTTCATCATTTTGTCATTTGGAGTTCCAGCGTGGCAATGCATTAGTTCAAGCTAGAACCGGCCTATTTACTTGATTTGGTAGGACATTAGAACATTGGAACTCATTACTCGGAAAGGCAGAACAACAAGTCCCATGGTTCTCAAAGACTTTTTCGAATTCAGAGGAATTTGAGATTAGGGAAAGCTCCATACACAGATATCACTTGATACCCTATTTACAAATCCTATGAGACTGGTCTGGAAAATTCTAAGTATTTTCTGAGTGAATAAATGCTATTATTTTCACTGCTAAATTTATCTTTTATGACATGGCAAGGGAAAATAAATGATGTCCATATTTGGAACTCTTACCAGAATGTTTTTTTAATTAACCACTCTAAAATGTTTTTTGAGAGAATTCTTCCAAGTTTGAGAAAAATTTGGAAATAAAGCTTGAAACTAGAGAAAAAATCAGATGCCGCATGGCCTAACTAAGTGTTTTGCCACTGTGCTGTTTACTAAGTACAGACCTGTCATGACCGTAAGGGTTGAGAAAACTTCATTGCTCCGTAAGTAAGGTGATGTCCAATACGACCAAGTGTTATAATGGCTTTATGAAATTATCATTACATGCTGACCTGCATGACTACTGCTATAAAGTGCACCATCACTAGCAGTGCAGTTATATGCAAAAGCCATCATGCCTATCTACTGTAGGAACACTTCACTTTGACGGCAGACATTTACTGTGACTACTTGAAGTCGAACAAACGTGATATACTCACCCACTGTAAAGATCTGAGGCATCTCAAAGACGCCATTCTGACTGTGATGTCAACCAAACTTAACTTCCAGAATGAACAAGACTGAATCAACTTCTAAAGACCGCTGCCGGCACAAGGACCAGTCATGTACACACCGTACCCTGATCGTACGTACCTAGCAAAGATTGTATAGCGCCGCTGCGCGGCGCTATACAATCTTTGGTACCTAGTACCTGAACTTAACTAGTATGATGGTGTCTACAACTAACGGCTACGGCTAGTTCATCGTTCCTTGCATGGCAAAAACGTACACAGCAGCCATAGCTACAAGTGATTTGGACCTGGGGCAGAAGCATCATTATATGACTGTAAATATAAAGCAAATAGTACTTGTTTCATTATCTCTACTTTAATAGTTTTTATTAATATTTTCTAATGAATCAAACCACTATTAAAAGTAAAACTACATAAATTATACTAAAATGGTTTGATCGAGGTTGTGCTAAATATGTATGATGGGAGAATCGGGCGTTTCAGCCAATGGTATCTTTGCATCTTTTACGTCATCAAATTACGTCATATTCCTTCCATGTTCTTTGGAAATCCACGCGATCGGAACCGGTAAGTGGGAGACCACGCACCTTCGAATAATGTAAAATAACTCGGTTTGGGGAAAAGTTGTACCCCCTTATTGGAACGTAGTTGAAATTTCCTATTTACTCTTCTGTGATATTTGTTTTGTTTCCAGAATCAAGATGTTTTCGGCATTATTTGACACCGTTAAACGCAACCATTTTTCAAGCCCGTTCATCACGACGGCGCGATGTGAAGGTGATGGTGCCCCGACACTTCCATCGGAAAATTTATCACAAAATCTACCAACCACAATAACGACGCCGAAGCTTGCAAGTGTAGACGAAGGTTGGTACATAATCATACCCTTTATTGCAGGCAGAACTATGACTATTGAAGAACATCTTGATACAAAATTTTAAAACCGGCTAGGCAGAGCCCTACCGTGTGACTAGACGAGCACATGGAATGACCCGCCAATGACATGAATGAAGGAACTGTGCTAAGCCTGCGGTGCGGTTTCCCCATAGGGGGCCTACAGTGCATGCAGTAGGCTTTGTGTATGCTGATGTTTGGAGAGTTGACTAACTTTTAGACTCTGTTCCCCATTCTCCAACAAAATTGTTCAAAAAGCTTGACAGATTACCACGTATTGATGATTTTGCTTGAATGAAAAGTATTTTTGCCCTTTCATGTCCAGCATTCGGCCCAAGCCCTGTTTCAACTTAGGCCTATGGAAACTTTGTAGTATAGTAGAGCCAATGATTTTCCACAGTGGCGGAAAACGGACGGAATTCGCGGAACAACACTTTGAAACGGAATCCACTGCTTGAAATGGCACTCGCAAAATTTCCTTTCTAAGAATGGCTTAAAAAGTAAAGAAAACTTTCTGCAAAGTACTAAAAAATAAATGCCTACCAAACCCTTTTCAAATGCTTGCTTTTAATGAACAAATTACGCTGGAAACATGCTAAATTGTACCATTCCACCTTTGTTTGTTTTTTGCTGGCAGAACAAGCAGTGCATTGTCAGTGATTAACTTTTTTACTTCATTGCAAATGTTGTGTTGATATAAGTTATTGTAACCTTAGATTAGATTAGCTTATACTAGTTGTTAGGCCTAGTTGTGGATTGAAAAGTGGTTGAGGTGTTGAAAGAAGTACTCTGAATTAGAAGGGAACAGGTCCACTCGTACCTTGGACAACTCGTACCATCAACTCAACATAACTGTGCCAACTCATACCTTCGCCGAGTTGCACCTTGGACAACTCATACTTCCAGTAAAGACAACTTGTACCTTTGCGTACAAGAAACTCGCACCTTCACAGGAATCAGAGCTTGCTCAGAGCTATTATTATTTGATTTCTTAGTCATGTGTTCGTCACCTAATTTGCCGTTTTGACTACACTGCCTTCTCTACACGCCAATGGGGTGACATTAATGTGAGACGTGCCGACGTCTTGCATGCAATTCGGAATGTTCACCTAGCAGTCCACTGTGATGATGGAGTGATGTCACGTTTTCAAATACTTCAAAGTTTGTAAAGTATTGTCACTTGTAACTTGTCCCCAAAAAAGAATTCTAAGAAGGAAGGCAACCACTCCCCCCCCCAAAAAAAATTAAAAATGAGACCAGAAACATTTCCATAAGAAATCAAGACATAACAAGTTTTATTAAGTACACCCCAAAAAAAGTTACTAAACAAAGCCGTCATTCCCACACAAAATGAAAAAGTCCAATAGCATTTTCCCAGAGCCATAAGAATAAAATGAATTCCCTCCCCCCAAGAAAAGAATATTAAGAAGGAAGGCACTAAACAGAAAAATCATGCTGGTGCTCGAGATCTCTCTTGGAGATTTTGAACTTTTCTGTGATATGTTTGTCAAATTTGATCTTAAACATGATGAAAAGGAAGAGCAAGAAAGTCGCCGCCAAATTGCAAACATGAAGGTACGAGTTGTCCAAGGTACAAGTTGTCCAAGGAACGAG